GCTTCAGTGGGCGGGTCACAGGCTTCAGTGGGCGGGTCAGATACTTCAGTGGGCGGGTCACAGGCTTCAGTGGGTGAGTCACAGGCTTCAGTGGGCGGGTCACAGGCTTCAGTGGGCGGGTCACTTCCACAGGAAGAGAAGATAACCAACAGTTCAGCCTACTTGCTGTGTTGAGGCTGATGTGGGGATATTGAGTCTTAGCTGTGCTGCAGAGACTTAACGTCTTTATCGAATGTGTTGCACTGACAATCGTCTGTCTCTATGTCCATCAGTCTGGAGGAGGAAGTCCTCAGTCCCAGCGTCCTGCCGAACTGTCCGATGACGAGGTCGGGGAGCTTTTCCAGCGCCTTGCTGAGGTCCAGCAGGAGAAATGGATGCTGGAGGAGAAGGTGAGCAACTGTTACTGTGATAAGCACCTTTGGTTGAGATAAAGTTTGAGTTGGTTATTTGAAGCGTTTTCTGGTTCAGGTAAAACATCTGGAGGTAAGCTGCTCCTCAATGGCTGAAGACATCTGCAGGAAGAGCGCCATCATCGAGACGTACGTGATGGACAGTCGCAGAGGTGAGACATTACCTGGTTAGATGGTCTCTTGGGGACAGCTGAGGGACAACACCTGAGACAGAAACAACATGAAGAGTCTGGTGTTCAGGTCTTGAATGTCTCGTGTGAAGGTTTGAACGACTCGTTTGCTTCGAGTTGTTCAGCTGTTTGATACAAGTCCTTCGGTGGGAGTCTTTGGGTTTGACTCAGTCGTCTCCTCTCTCCTCAGACGTGTCGGTCAGCGCTGTCGGAGGTCACGGAGGCTCTCAGGGAGAGAGAGGAGGTCTGGGTTCAGTCCTCAGAGATCTGGTTAAACCAGGAGACGAGAATCTGAGAGAGATGAACAAGAAGCTGCAGAACATGTTGGAGGAGCAGCTGACCAAGAACATGCACCTGCAGAAGGTGAGGACACAACCCGTTTAAGGTCCAAGTCATCCTTCAGACAAGTTCTGATCCAAGGCTTTTACACACAAATCTGACGGTTGTTGGGTCCTTTGAAGCTGCACAAACTCAAAATACCAACCTAAACACCCTCTTTAAGTCTGTCAGAGGGCTGACATTGATGGATTCTGGGTAATGTAGTCCACTCTGTGTAGATGTCAGGGCAGCAGGATGTGCTACGCACACACACGATACAAACTGCCTGTTCGTCTGTCTCCCTGCAGGACCTGGAGCTTCTTTCCCAGGAATTAGTCCGGCTCAGTAAAGATGGCAGCAACCCAGCTGGTTCGGGATGAGACCAACACCTGGATTCATTCTGCTTGCTTCACAGCCCCCAACCCCACACCCCCTCATTCAGTAGTGCTGTGGGCTCTGACTACTGCCTGGAGCCTGGGTAGCTTACTGGGTATGACTAAATGCTGGATCTTGTCTATCAGTTTGTGCATGAGGTGAGTAAATGGAAAGTTTCACACATGAAGAACCCGAGGAGGCACCAGAATCATCATGAACAAAAACTGTTGGACTCAGTTCATTATCGCTGTTGAATGTACTGGTACTGTAATTAGACTGCACCATCACTGAGACCTGGCTATGATCTGGAAATGCTTTGTAAGTGACTGTAATTTATTTTCTTTGTGTCTTAAGTCTGTTTGATGGGATATGACTACACCCTGGAGCATGACTCACAACTGACCTCATTGTTTTCTGTTCGAGTAACTCTGTTGTGGCCTGACTACTTCCTGAAACTCATATCTGAAACAGAGCAGACATCGTGACTGAAAAGCTTTTACCTTATTGGTCAGTTCTCAACCAATCAGTGAGCTCGTTTGTAAAATGACATCATTCAAAGAGCAGCGTTACTCGTTTTAACCTGAAAAAGTTAAAAATAAACAGTTTATCCTTTACTAATCAAAGTAAAAAACTGTTGCCATGGCAACAGTGTCAGAGTTCTGTGATTGTTGTATTTCACTACAAAACATGGAGAATGATCTGATAACTGATCAGGAATCAATATTTGTTCTAAAGATGCAGCAGGTCGTTCTGGTCCTACAGAAGCCCGGAAGGACAAACCAAACACCAGTTTGACAACTAGATGGCACTACGTCCTTCACAGAGGAACTTTAAACATAAAACACATAACTGACGACAAAACGTTCTAAAGTCTTTACGTCGTGAGTCACATCTGCAAAACTAATATTTTATCTGTAACAGGTGATAAAAACCAAATCTTCTTCAACTTCTTCAGCAGGTTGACCAACGACTCGCTGCAACTTGCAGCACGGCGAGAACACACCTCGGTACGGAAGCCTGGAGAAGACAGATTTAGACAGTTATTTACATTTCTCAAAGTAATGACGACTTTAGCTTCAAAGTTTCAGTTGTTATTTTGATGGTTTCTTTATCACAAGTCAGTGACTTGTCTTATCTTTAAAGACTTATCGTGAGTTAAAAGACTTGTTATCTCAAGCGAAAGACTTATCTTCAATTAAAGACTTCTCTCGAGTTAATGACTCGAGTTAATGACATCTTGAGTTAGACTTATCTCACATCAAGGTCTTATCTTGAGTTAGACTTGTTATTTCAAGTTAAAGACTTATT